ATACCTAGGGTGAAACTCCATTTGACTGGGAGCAGTCGCTGTTAGTAAGTCTACCACATCTGCAAATATCCAGAAGAACACTACAGTAGATATCAAAAAAGAGTTATGTTTTTCTATATAGCTATTCCCATTTGAATTTTTGAAACCAGAGATGGTAGCCCTTATTTAATGAACTTCCAGCTACCTTAGTATTGGCTGGCTTGCTGTCACTTCTCTTTTTTTCAATAAAAATAAAAATTCTATGATAGTTTGTTAGCTTCACTACCCATCGCCATCAACTCTCTTTCTGCCTCCATTTTAGCCTTTCACCCTCCATATGCCTAAAGTTATTATCTGAAGGGAAATTTGGTAAGCGGGTAGAAGTTGGCATTCTGCAGTGCAATATTTTGTGTGTTTACACAGAAATAAACCTCACTGCACAATGGGACTTTCTCCCAAGTCACAATGGAACAGTAGAAATCTATTCAGATATAAGCCCCCTTCAATTCAATAGTGTAGGATTTGCTGTCAATCTGCCTTGAACTAGTTTTCATACAGCAGTGTAGGTGTGTCAAAATCTAGTGATCACAGATCGGGGAAGAAAGAAGGTGGCAAGGCTAAAGTCTGGCATTTCCACTTGGACTAAGAATGAAGCAATAGTTGATGAACTTGCAGAACCAAGAATGAGGAGCTGATGGTGTTGTGATCAGAAATAGACTGGGTTATAGTGGTTGAATAAATCACAATGAGCTGAGTTAGTACAACTTGCTAAGCCATAATGACTTAAGGCTGACACAACTCACTAGGCACAAACCAATGTGGAGTAGGAATGGTTATGGTAGGCAGTCAGACTTTTTTGTGACAGAACTCCTGGGCCTTTAAGACTTACTTGGTAGACATACAGCCAGCAGACTTTCCCCATTCTGGCAGTTGTTGAACAATTGCTGCCCATTAAAAGCTGTTGAAGAAAAAGGCAGCACAGACTCAGCCTGGAACCGCATGCACTGTAAGGCATATATGATGGGCTACCCATTGGGCTGTCTTTTGTCCAGCTAATGCTAAATAGAAAAAATGGCAGTACTTTAGTGCATATGTGTGTATTTGCACTAAATGCATCCTCTTTCCCTTCTGAAATGGAAAATCTAAAACTAGTTTCAATCAGATGCATGGAAACCTGTGGCCTTCCTGATGTTGCTGAACTGCATCTCCCTGTATTCTTCACCATTGGCTATGCTGGGTCCAGCTGCTGGGAACTATGGTTCAGCAACATCCACAGGGCTCAAAAGCAAAGCTCCTAGAACATAAGAGATTCAGACTCATCTTTAACTAAAAAAAAAAAGTGACTCATAAAAAAGGGATTGGCATAAGGAAAATAAAAAAAACAGGTAAGACCCATAAGTAGCAATACTATTATTTGTCCAATTCAACGATCACAAGAAATACCAAAGATTCTCCTCCCTTCTTTTTTATATGACCATTGAGCTGATCTAGCAAAATTAGCAAAGAGGTTGCTGATTTTCTTAGAGATGTCAAAAAGAGTTGCCATCTGACCAAGGAAAACAACCAGCTGACTCTACCATTAGCAACAGCTTGATCTGCAAAAAGCATTTCACAACATGGAGGTGAGCCAGCCACATCTCCTGCAAATACAACAAAGAGTCCTGGGGCACCTAAAGACTAACCCTTTCATGATTGCATAAGCTATCATAGATCACAGTCCATTCTATCAGAAGCATGGGGTACAGGCCCTGCCCTTTTGGCTCCTGCTAAGGTCAACTGATAACACAACTGTTAGAGCTGCCAGTAAAAACATCAGCAGCTTGAATGAGGTTGGTTCACCCTGCAAAAATAAAAAGGGAACAAACGTACACTCTCAGAGTTCAGCGTGCCCACACCTAGTATTCTGAGCATAACCTGAGGTATTCAATCAGGAGGTGTGAATAACTATCCTGGGATATCCTGCTCTGTATACAAGTGATGTTGATTTAATGATGCTGAAATAATTTCTGGCATTCCAATTGTGTGTGAATTCAATTAGCAGTTTCTGTCAAGCCCCTTTAAAAAGGTCACATGTGCACAAAACCAGGCAGCACTTAATTGGGCAGGTTGTGTGAAAATACAGTTGTGTATACCTTGTTTTAAAATCCCATTTAGTAACCAACCTCTTAGCAAGAGAGGAGTGGCTAACACTGGTAACCACTGCAGTTCAGATTATCCAAAAAAAAAAAAAGGATACTGAAGAGCTGTAAGATGTCTCTTTCCAGACCTCATCAAGTAGACACCCTGGCCTTTGCACTGCACCAAGGAAAAATCTCAAGCAACAATCTTGGTTTTAGTCTATTTAAAATATCTTTTGTGGAACAGCATAGGCCAAACGCAAGCCTTTCTGCAAAGGCTTGTATGTTTCCTTATATGTAGTTAAAACAGCAAGATTCCTTTACTTCAGCAGGACAAAGAAGGAACGTTCATGCTTCTTTTTTTCTCTTTTTTTTTTAGAAATCCAGAAATACCATCCCCACAATTCCAGTCTTCCTAAGTAAATAGAGAGATGACAAATGCAGTGCTAAGCTATTGTTTGTTTTATCCATTTCCCAGATAAGCCATAATTGGTTGGGTGCGCACAACACACTGAGCCATGGTTTATAAGGCACATTTGGCTGAACTTCCACAACAAGCTGAGTCAAAACCAACAAAAACCTATTTTGACTAAGCCTGATGTGAGAACCCAGCCAAAGAGTCAAGCTTATGTGCACTTATCTAGAACAAAGTCTCCCTGGAGCTAATAGAGCTCAGAGCTAAAGAGAGATGTCTAGAATGATAGTGTAAGAAGCTGTATATGAGGGGCTGGGTGACTCCTTTCAGCCAATGGGGCCTTCTGGGATTTGGAAAGCCTGTTTGGGTGCCCTAAGGGGGCTTGCACATTAACTGTATGTTTGCTATGGAAAGATCATAAAATATCCTTATAATAGAAGATAAAGTTATTGTTTCCCCTCCCGCTCCCTCCTATCCAAACTCTTCTTTCTTCCTCTTATTTTTCTGGAAAGGGAGACACACCCTTCCAAACAAAGACCTGGGAGGCAGCTGTCTACTATTTTTATTTCCTCATAATATCTAGGAGGCCTCGAGGCATTCTTGTCAATCCAGATGCTTTGAAGCTTCTCATTTGATTTGTTTTAAAAGAAACTTAAAGACGATCTATCAAAAGTTTAGCCAGGTGGAGCCAGGGGTCTGCTGGGTACCAAGACTGGTGTCTTCAGGGACATGGGTGTTCCCAGGAAGGCACTGGGTTGCCTGCCCTTTTGAGTATAGTGGCTTGTTAACCCAACTAATAAGTGGACCTTGTTAAAACAAAAAGCATTTTTCCATTGTCTGCACATTCCTCCAAAAAGCCCAGACTAATAACCAAAGGTCAGGTTTTTTGTTTGGGGATCAATATATTGATTTTGCAATCTTATACATGAGTATTTCCAGAAAAGGGCTTCTGGTGCTACCAATCATAAGACATGAAGTAGTTATTCTGCCTTTCCTATAACAGACTGTTTTTTCTAGTAAGAATAAATATTAGAAATATAGTGGAAGGTTATGCTGCTTCCCTCCATAAAATTCCATGAACAAGGCAAGGCAATTGCAAGATAAAAGCCTTTCCTGGAAGAAGGTTGTGTCTGCTCAGAAATAAGAGCCCAAAGATCAGTGGAACTCCTCTGTGGAAGGGGGAAAGGTCACAAAACATACCTCACTTATGGATGAAACAAAACTAATCCTACCTGTATATTCATGCCACATTATATAATCATTAACATTTAATAATCTAGTTATTAACTGGGGTTTTCATACCTGGTGGGAAATTGCCCATTCCATGTCTGTTTTTTATTGTTTCCAAAGGAAGGAACAATAAATTAATCATTGAAATTAAATTATATTACTGGCTGCATATCTTCCCTTAAGGATTTCCTTGTGCAATTATTCTGCAGGTCCTAACCTACCCTCATCTTGCTTCAGTGTGGTGCTGAGCTTGCTGTCCAAATCATGTGACAGTTTAAAGTGTTGTGCTCCTATTCATGTGCTGGATGATCTTAAAAAAATTACTCTCATTTTTGCTAAGGTATATTTTTTCATATCCAGGCAAGTGACTTAAATGAATCTGAAGTTCCTTAGCCTGAGAAAGCAAACCTAATTTAATAAAGTTTGCTTTAATAAAGTTAAAGTGACTTGACTTTAAGCCCAACCTATGTTCTATTTTGTATTTTCTCTCCTCTTAAATGGGCATTTCTACAAGTAGGGAATTAGCTCTCATGTAGGTTTGGATGAAATAACTCAATGCTCATAGCAGTTACCCCACTGCATCATGTATTATGTTTTCCTTCTCCTCTTGCAACTTTTAATTGTTATTCCTCAGTGCTGAAGAGAGATGTGTTATAATTTAATGAAATGTTGAGTAGCTTAAGTGATGCTGGTGAGAAAGCATAGTGCTTTTCGTGCTTTTTGACAACCTCTCTCAACCTGATGCCCTCCAGAGACTACAAGATTCCTAGCTACAATATTGGTTATGAATTCTGAAAACACTAATTTGACCCCATCTGGAGAGCAAAGGATTGGGAAAAGGTGCTTTGTAATGTAACACTGGAATATGTCAAAAAGAAACAGTGATATTTTGTAATGATTTGGAGAATTTCCCATTAACTGTGCATTCAACGGGAAACTACAAACCATTTTTCCAAATGTTGCCTCTGATGGATTTATGTAGTATGCTATGTGAAGACAATGTTCCTTATTTGGAAGTAACAATGGAAGTAATAGTAGAGCTTTGGGAGATTTCAGTTCCATTCAGAATACAATATTAGATACTACTGTCATAAGACCAGATCATTTTTTTGCAGGGATACTGCTGAATGAGTTTGTGTCTCTACAAAGAAAGTGCAAACTACATTCTACAAAAGAGCACAGTTCTTCTTTAGCAATGAACAAAACTTTCAGACAGGCCAATTCATCCATGATCAGCAGGAGAGTCTCTGTATTCTTAGAAGTAGAAAAGTCGTGGAAGGCTCCATCTCTCAAGTAGATACTTAGCTCATAATCTAACTGTAAGTCCCAAAGTCCAATCAAGTCACCTCCATGGGAAGATTTTGAAATTCTGAGTATGTTTCGCGATTGTACGTGAATTATGACCAGCTGTCACATGGATGGAAGAGAACTGTTTGTCTTATAGACTGACAGTAACAAACAGCAGCTTAGTGTCTTGGAAAGGTATGGCATAAAACACAATGAGAAAGAAGAAAATCAGAATACTTCACAATTCACAAAAAAAGGTATGTGGTCATATGACCATGGTAGCTGATGTGAAATAAACTTTTGGGCTGTTTTTATTCACTTTAGAATTTTGTGTGTTCAATCTTGAGTCATGAATAGAAATTATTGTGGGAGTTTTGATTTAAACAAATGCTTCCCTTTAAGGGTTAGCAAGTTGACTGTAGAAACCAACTCCATGTTAACAACTTTTTTTTTTTTTTTTAGAACTGGAGCAAAGTACTTTTACCTAGATTTATTCCTTTGTTTATGGTAGGGAGCAAGGATATGCTTTCTCTTTTAATCCATCTGGCACAAATGTTTCACATTTCCCTATGCCTATCATTAAACCACCACATATAGACACAAGACAGTTAAATAAATATGCATTGCTCTGCTCTGTATAAATCTGGTGCAGGAAGTTTCGGCATTTATTCTGAAATATCACTCATAGAATCTCAGGTTTTTAGGAGTTTAATGCTTGTTCAGACATTAAATCCATTGGTGGATGTTCAGTGATACACAAAGTACAACAGATGAACTGGGTAGAGAAGTTGGGGAGGTTTTCTCCCTTCCTCCCCCAAACATGTAATGCAATAGATCTAGATATGGATATTGTCTCTATCAGCCCTGCCCCTACTACAAGCTTAGACTGCTTTTTACAGTTTTCAAGTCAGAGATTATGATAGCACCATCACCCTATACTGAGAGGCAGTGTGGTGTGATGGTTAAGGTGTTGGACTAGGAACAATGAGCTTTAGGCTCCTAGTCCGCCTTCAGCCATGGAAGCTCATGAAGTGACTTTGAATCAATCATTCTCTCTCAGCAACAACATTCCTTACAGGGGTATTGTTATGCAGATAAATGAATATTGCATTGGACTTAGATATAAGTTTATACCAACAAAAAAAATTATTAAATATTTGTAAGTTCCATTTATCTCTCAGTGAAAAAAAAAGTTATTGCCTACCTATTGAGACAGCTGACTCACCACAGTTGGAAATGCAATGCTGAAGCAGCTTAACTTGTTTTACTCTTGTTTAAGACAGCAAGATCTGAACAATGGGCTATAAAAGGAGAAAAAAAAATAGGGAAGGTGGAACATATTTAGGGATTTTGCAAGTATATATTTCTTTCTCAAAACAAAGATTCAAAATGAATGATAATACCCAATGACAGCTAATATTTTGAGCATTCAGTAAAAGTAAATAGTATTGCATTCAGCACATAGGCTAGTCTTGGGTGACTTTATGAAGTCTCTTTATGGTTTTAATTTTTTAAAAAATATATGAATATAGAAGATTTTAACAGTATTTTTGTAGTTTCATACAGGCCAGGGCATCACTCCAAGATCTACTGACTACTCACTTCCTAAAGTTCTGCCAAGGTATTCATCCTCTCTCTTCCCTATGCTATCGCATGTAAACATAATTGAATGGCATTGGTTAAGAGCAATCTGAGTAACTGAACTCCTTTTCTGATAAGATGAACTTGGAGCCAATTTAGTATCTCAGCAGTGCTTGAGAAAGGTAACTCCCAGCCTCGACCTTGGTTTGGAGAGGACTAGTTTATGGCATACTTAAATATTTTATCAAGAACTACTCTCCATTTCAGTTTAAAAAACTATAGCTCCACATTCTTCCTTAGAAACAAGGTTTGCCTTGGCCCTTGTCACTCCTTCCAAAAGTGGACTTTCAGGTCTCAATCTTCTGTATCATCTTGTTTATCTTTCCCACTCTCACCTTGTTTATATATGACTTGGATTCAATGCCCATTCAATTTCTGGATGCTGCAATTATCTCTGGTTAAAGAGACATCAAGATAGAGCTATCAGATCTGGGCTCCAAAAGTCCTAGTGACTACTAGATGGAATTAAAGAGTTCAAGTTTTCTGTATCTTTTTGTTGCCATTTAATGACCATCCAGATTTTTTTCAGCCCAGAGATGATAGCACTAAAAAAACCCCTAGTACAATATATGCAATCTAGATTTCAATAAAGTCCTCCATATAGGATCCCAGTAGTAAAATACTTGTTCAATATAGAAATCAATGAAGTTTTAAGACTGTCATATGATTGGTGGAAAAGGGCATCCTTCTAGCCTCTTAATTATTTCTCAAATGAAATTTAAAGTTTTCAGTTGTAACAGCTGTGGAGAAAAGGGATCAAAAGAACATGTAGATTTCCTCACACTAGCATGACTGATCAAAATATTCAAATATGTGAGATCAGCAGTCTTTACAACTTATTATTTAAACCACAATGTACTCCTAAATTGATTTACTCAAGGTTGAATTTAATGATTTATTTCTATCTTGCTGTTCCTCCAGGAAAGGTAATATACCTTTTACAAGGTATACAGCAGCTCTTACAGGTAATCTGGACGCAGAGATGGTGACTGGTCCCTGTTTTCTTGGTATTGCTATGATTTGAACCTGGGAACTTCCTTGTTCTGTTGCAACACTCTTATTATACCACACCAGTTTTCAAACAGTGTTGAACGGTGTTCTTCAACCAACAAAATGGACACTATCGGCAAATCAAATTCCTCTCTCCTCACTGTTCCTTGTGCATATTTAACGGATTTTCCAAAGGCCAATCCTTGGAGAAGATTAAGAGGAATTTAGGAAAAAACACTATAATGTGAGCAGAGATCCACTTGCACCGGGTATTTCCTTCCAAAATAACTCTAAGTTTAATGAATCAGAAGCTTAATGAGTTCTCTCCCAGAAAACTGATACAAATCTTAGTGGCATAACATTTTTTAAAAAACAAAGATTTTGCTTGTTGCATTTGCTGAGAAAGTCAGGATTTATTTTTTGGGGGGGGGGGTACCAGACCTTGAGTTGGTAGAATAGTATGATGGCATAACATTTGCTGCCCTGATTGTCTATTCTGCCTCTGTAATGAGGCCAGTGACTAGAACTGTCACATTAATGTGACAATTAATGTGAGACAATTTTAGGAAGGTGATGGGTGGATTGCCCTGACTTCATGTCCCTGACACCAAGCATAGCCTGCCAGCTGGAAAACCACCACCAATTGACATCTCAGGCTATTTCTAAACAAAAGTCTAGTGCTCTTTTAAAAAAGTGCTAAAACCATGTCCAAAAATAACCCACTTGGCAGATAGCAGGCTCAGAGGAAAGGCACAGGATGAAATGGGAGAAAGTAATTGATAATGAACAGGTTCCATCCTCAGTACTGTTGAAAAGGAATAGCAGAGCTGGCAGTGAGTCCACTTCTGGCTTTGTGGCTGGCAGCATCTGGAAGTAGCCTGTGGAAGAATACAAAGTAGGCAAACAGAACTTGCTCAGGTTATGAAGACACATGAAATCTCTTGTTGGCAGAAACAGCAGAAAACCCATTGGACCCAGTGGTGACAGCAAGATACAATTGACAGAACATGACTTCTTTTCCAATTTGAATCAACCTTCTGTACAGCACAGAAAGAGAGTGCTAGACGTGTTTGTTAAAGACAGATAAAGCACTCTTTCACAACAGCACTAAAATCACATTTATAAAAAGTTCTTCCAAAAGTACCCATCTGTACAGGTAGTTCTTGGTTAACAATGGTAATTGGGACTGAAATTTCCATTGGTAAGTGATGTGGTCGTAAAGTGTGACATCACCAGACAATCCTGGCACTCCCGATTGCCATCATTAAGGGAGGATCACGGCTTGTTAAGTGAGTCCCAGGTGGCTTGCAAGCAGGCCGGCATCCAGGTAAGGTGCAGCACAAGGTGCAGTGCAAGTGTGGCAGGGCTGGGGGTGGCTCCTGCCAGGAGGAGGAGGGTGACAGTGACTTACTGGAGCAACTTGCGACCTTTCCTGCTGGCTTCCCTATTGACTCTGTCTGTGGGAAGCCGGCAGGGAAGGTCGCAAATGGCAGTCCCGTGACCATGAGACACTGCAACTGTCATAAGTGCGAGCTGGTTGCCAAGCACCCAGATCACGATCACATGACCGTGGGGTTACTGAGATGGCCAGAACTTCAAGGACTGGTCCTAAGTACCACTTGTTCAGCACCATCGTAACTTTGAATGGTCACTGAATGAGTGGTCGTTAAATGAGAATTACCTGTATTTGTTAAATTTCCATAAGCACTGGCTAAAGCCAGGTGTCTGCTCTCTCCTGCAGCCTAAGCCAAAACAGCCACAGAAGGCCATGCCGAGAGACAGGAGAGGGAATCACTGCATAACAACCAAAAATAACCAACAGGAACTGGACAGATCCCAACCCCTGCATACATCTGTATCATTCATTAGGTCTGCCAGATTGTATCTACAGCCAAAACTGCACGTGAAGAAGAGGGAAAATGCTGCTTTAAAACTGGAACATCTAAAAAAAAAAAATTATTTTAAAATATTTATAAACAGCATGCTTCTGGTCAGACCAGTCTTCAGTGATTACAGCAAGGAGCGTAATAAAAATTCTGAATCTGGTGAAAATTACTGTATAAAACTCATTAAAAACTTCAGCTCCCAAACCATAGAAAAACAAAAATATTGAAGATAATTACATCAATCTACCATGTAACAACACCTGGAAGAAAGTTTGAATGTAAAAATGAATGAAATGAAAATGAAAAAGGAGCAGTCCAAACCTCTAGGGCAGTGTTTCTCAACCTTACCAACTTTAAGATGCTTGGACTTCAACTCCCAGAATTCTGCTCTAGGGAAAGGAACAAGCTATGATTTGGAGATGTGAGAAAGATGCCATTAAACCATGGCACAAAAGAAGCAATTAGCAAGGCATGGCTGTCTTCTTCCTTGCCCCAGAGAAAGGCCTACTTTCCTTCTTCCCTCTCTTGATCAGCCAACTGAGCGGAGAAAAAAAAGTGCTGTCCCCAGCTGTTTGAAAAGGACACACAATTTATATCCATGTACTTTCTTATTCTACATTTGCAAATCTGGACATCCTGAATGAATGTGTGTTACAGGGAGCCTGTGTGTGTTTTCTACATTAAATTCCTTATCATTTCCGTGAGGCTGATTTTGTTTGAATGAAAATATGCCCAGTTTCCATTGTGGTATTTTATATAAACATTCTGCTCTATCTCTTATTCTTGGGATTTATCCTCTGAGTTTATGTTTCTCATCTAGGCTTCAAATGCAAGTTGATACACTCTCCTTTTTAGGTTTACTCTGGAAAAGCTAATCTGAAGTGGAATAACTGTTATCTAACTGGCTGCTGGCTTTATTTTCAACTGACATTGTTCTTAGATTTTTTTTTGGTTCATCATTGGTTAAGCCACTTAGCACAGCACTCTCATGTACACATTGCATTAAGGTATGATTTGTTTTAATCAGGGCTCGCTGAAAAATTCTTTGGCCTAGGTGAGAAATAACACTATGGTAGAGGTGTTGTGTGAACCCAGCCACCCACTGTGGTTTGTAAATCAGGGTTTATGACTCAGTGCATTGCATGAACCCAGACATAGGCTCGGCCTTCTTTGTCATTTTTCTCAAAAAGGAGATGCAGATTGAACCCAAAGGAAGAGGAAGACAAATGAGTAGCAGTCACACAGAGCATGAATGAAAGACCAGCGAACACATTTTTTCTCAAAATTCCCCAGATCAGCATTGTGAAGGTGCATCAGTCTAAAAAAAAAAAAATCATGCTGTACTGCTGCTATTCTTACAGATCAGTCTCTAGAGAAAAAGAACTCGGTGTCCTAAAGGCAACCACATTTAGCCTGGTTGTTTGTCTTGCTCTTGACATGATTTATGGAGTTAATACATTGTGTTCTAAAAATATCTTAACAGAGATTAGTGCATTTTCATTGAAGCTGATGGGACTTCCAGAAAGGGGACAGATCTGATCATGGATCAAGTCACCCCACATAAAATAAAGCCACAGCTGGATAGTGCTCTTTGCCACATGTTTGCTTGCAAAAGGAGAATTCCCATTTGGAGTTGATGAATGTTGCTGCATTGTGACAGCGTTTGGTTATTCTGTTATGCACTTAGTAATGTTAAAATTCATTGGAGAGATGTCTGACTTGGCCCCCTTCCCAGCCTCCTGGCATTATTACTAGACATCAGCGCTACCTAAGAGCCTTAAATACAAACCCCAAAGCCTTTCTTTAAAAGAAAAAGAACTGTTTTCACGAAGAGAATTTGTTTTATTTTTGCTATAGTCTTAGGACAAGGAATCTCTTGTTGGCTGGCATGTGAGCATCAATTGCTGAGCAATCTGTGCTCATCTATTGGCCAGAAAGGGCAAGTTATGATTCACGGCTGGTTCTTTGTGAGCACTACAGAATTGCAAAGAAATAGACATGCCAGTTGCAGTTGCATCCTGGGGGTCATAAATCATCTAAAAAGCTTCCTCAAGCCCTATTTCATTTTTATTGTGAGATCTGACATTTGGGCAACCAGAAGCCAAGTCATCTCTAAGTACCCAGAATTTCCCCCAAAAGGCAGCTATTGTATTTCTTGCCGTTAATAAGCCAAACAATCCTGGCATTCATTGCAAAGAAAAGCACTATTATATATATTTTAAATAAAATTACCTGCAGAGAAAACTACTTTACCCATTTGAAAAAGAGGCAGGCTGCAAAACTTGGTGGAGTTAACAGCCCATAGTGGTTACACAAAAGACATTTAGCTTGGAACATATAAGAGAGGAAGTGAAACAAAATTAGGGTTGTGTCATCCCAGTGTTCTGCCAGGAAGTTGGTTAGATATTTAGGGTAAAATCAGAGAAACAGGCTGCTGCTGCTGCTGCTGCTGCTTCTTCTTAGTTCTGTATTAAGAGATACCCTTTGAGAGTTTTGCTAGAATGACAGGTAACTGTTAAAAATAAATTCTGTAATATACATACATAAGTGAGAATCAGTGTGATATAACACTGAGATAGGCAATGATTTCCAGATGTGGATTACAATTCCCATAATCCCAGCTAGCATGGCCAATGTTTACAGATCATATTCTGAAAGTCGTCAGGTAATAGAAAGCCTCCTGTTAATCAAGATAGTGATGCTTGGGGACCTGGCAAGTTGACAAGAGGCTGACCTGTCTTTTCTGTCTTACTTGGAAAGGCCCCCTTCTCAGTGATAAGGCAGGCTGGACAGGTCACACTGGCGAAACCTCTTCTCAACAGGACTTCATTGTGAGTGTGAGGGAGCAAAACTAAGGTTTGTGGCTGGCCACATTCAAGAAGTTAAGCACTAAGAAAGTAAAGCAATCCCAAGCAATGCCTACCTTGCCTCCAAATAAAACTCCAATAAGAAAATGTTCAACAAGATGATCATTGGCCAGCTATTCATGTTCCTCTCAGAGTCCACCAACCCACTTGCCTCCCAACCTTCTCCATATATGGAAGATGCAACACTGTATTTTATTTTTAATACCAGAAGCAGCAGCACCTGCTCTCTGGAACACCATACCACCTGAGGTTCAGCTGGCCCCCAACTCTGCTCATCTTTTGCAAAGCCTCAAAGACCTGCCTGTTTTCACAGGCATGGGGACCAGGACAGCAATCGAGCCCATGCTCCTGGTGAATGGTATGTTAGGGAACCTACTTTGTGTTAATTAGTTGGGAATGGTGCTTTTTAAAAAATATGCATGTATTTATATTGTATTTTGATTCTTGTTGGCCTCCCAGAGTTGCATTGGTGAGATGGGTGGCCATATAAATCGATATGAATAAAATAAAATGTTAAGCCAGAATCTAACAAGCCACATTATGTTGGGTTCACACATTGCCTTACATAGTATGTTTGGTTTTGGCTTCATATATATGACTCTAGAGACCCAGTTTGGTGTAATGGTTAAAGCACCAGGCTAAAAATTTGGAGATCATAAAACCAACTGGGTGACTTTGGGCCAGTCATTCTCTTTTAGGCCTTGGAAAAAGGCAATAGCAACCCACTTCTGAAAATCTTGCCAAGAAAACACCAGGAATCAAGACTGACTTGAAAGCACTACATAAATAAACCTAGCTTATTCCAGAAATCATGGCTTAGTATAATACTAACTGCTGTCAGAATCTGCTGAATGTTTTACATGTTGATTTTCACTTACTCTTCCTGCATTTTGCAATAGTAGAATCATAATTAGAACAGTGTAATATATCCAAGTGTATAGATGCAATCAGCTCCTTTACTCATGGTGTGCTAGAGGTCAATAGTACAGTCATATGGCTGTCTTACCACAGTGACAAGTCATTTGGTGTCAACATATGCCCCTTCCCCTTCCTAATTAAAATTAAAATTAAAATGCATGCCTTTGTGCAGCATTACTCAAGTGGGGAGTCCTCTAGATATGTGGACTATAACTCCTAGAATTTTCCAGCCAGAATTTTCATTTTTGTGGGTTAATCTAAGATATAGCATGCCTGTAATTTTTTTCCTTTTTTAGTCAGCAAACAATGCAACACAAGCTTTTAGTTTTGATTCTAGGCTGCATTCCTTTACAGCTTCCCACCCTCCCACTTTTGCAGTACTGTACAGGTAACAACAGCAATAAAGCAGTCAACAGCTTGAGTTAGAAGCATCTGTCCAGGCATTTTAAAGTACTTTTTTACTTTTTACTAGCAAAGAAAAACTTCCTGCTCCTGGTAAAGTCTACTTTGTTATTGTGAGGTCTTGTGTTTTGACTATGAATATCGTTACACCAATGTTCTATCCATGCTTCCTACTTGAACTTAAGTAAAGATTCTAGTTATGCTACCTTGCATTCTTTCTCTCTCTTTTGCTGGCAGCTGTGTTCCAGGTGCTTTTTCTCTTCAGCTTTCCACAAAAACCATCAGCGAAGGACAGATTTTGTCCCATGGTCATCCCCTTTCTTCAGTGGGTCTTCTCCCAGCCTTCCATTCTACTGCTGAGCATCTTGTTCCTGGGTTGTCCTGGAAACAAGAAGCATTGAACAGCCAGCACTGTATAGATCCATCTTTGTTTGTCAACTATAGCATCTCCATCTCTCCTTCCCTCTTCTTTCTCCTAGAGTTCTGTTTTAATTCTCTACCTGTCTTCTCCTCCTCCCTGCTAGCTCAGCTCTATCACCCTTCCTTCCTATGAGAAAATGCTGCACTATTATCAGCAAAAAAGAATAATGTGTCTAGTTGGGTACATATGTGACAGGATGCTAGAGCGACATGGACAGCAGGAGACCATCACACTAAGAATGCTATGAGTTGAAGTTCACACATCTGGAGGAAATGCAGATTGGAAAAGATCATTTACATAAATGAGCTTCAATGCAGCTGAAAATACTCTAAGTGCTCCCTGCCATTATTTATTAATTCAATTTCAAACAACATTAAAAAAGCTCCAAACAACCAATATGGAAATATTTGCATCAGAAGAAAGATAGTCTAAATATTTATCTTCAGAACAGTTATTTCCATGATATTAAAAAGTCATTTGAAGTTGGTCTAAAGATATTCTGTTGGGTGCTTCTTCCAAGATCCTTCCCCAGCAGAACTGCACTATGTAATTACAAGGAAATAAATGATTCAAGAGCAATTCTATTTCCAAAGTGCACCTTAGCATAGTGGTATAATGACAATTATGTAGAAGAAGAAATGTCAGCAGATGCCTTCATGTCTGCATTCCAAGTTGCACTTGCTCAAATGTGACTGGATACAACTTCTAAGGATGGGGGAGTCTTTTGGATCTGATTCATCTCTTTTCATTTGGTAGACACTGCAAGGAGGAGAGCTGTGTTTGTCTGTGATAGGAAATGGTGCTACCAGACTCCTTCTGCCTCTTTTCCTATGCAAATACAGCTTCTCAAAGTACAAATGAACTAGAAAAGACAAACTCCACCTACTTGCATAGAAGTAAATTTAACAACAGATTTAGAGTGACTGATTTGTCTCCCACAATTTAACATGTGAATAAGGCCCCACTTAAAGCTGGTATATTCTTGGTGTTATGGCCCAGAATGGAAGAAGACCTATCTTGAGAGTTTGTTCAATCAGTAAATAGTCTTGGGAAACCATGACATCTACTGGCAAAATATGGTCAGTGTAAGCATATCAACCAAAGGCCTTGCAAAAGACAGAAACTAGCAGAAATTGTGCATAAAGTTTTCTGCAGCACATCAATTTTTTCCCCCGCCTTTCTACAGATTTTATTCCAGATTGGAAGTGGGATTTTATGGGAAGAGGAAGACTTTTTAAAATCTTTTCCCTCACTATATCATTTGTTGCATTTTTATAAAAAAAAAGTATTCAGGAAGCAGAAAACATCAATTGCTTGATCAAAACATTCAAACCATTTCAATATACAGTATTTAGCCAGTTACACCATTTACATTCTTGCATTTGAGTCCCAAACTGGTATCAAAGGAAAGAGCATCGATACAATACTTAAAGCAGAACAGTATATAGTAGTGTTGTCCAAACTTGGCCACTTTAAGATAAGTGGACTTCAACTCCCAGAATTCCCCAG